CAGCTGGGGAAAGCTCTGCCCCCTGGGAATGTCCCCAGTTCATACCAGTTGGCCCCTCAGTCCCCTCCCTGGGCCCCTCGGAGTGGACAGCCTGCAGCTGTCTGGGACCCGTGTGCCCTCTCTGCTCCAGCCCTGCCCCTCCGCCTGGTCCCGGGCGCTCCCCCCAGCCAAGCCCAGCGCTCCGCTTGGGAGCCCACCAGCCCTCCTGCCAACAGCGTGGCCTCCACACCCCACACAGCTTTCAGCTCAGCCAGCCCTTCATCCTCACATCGTCACAGGCCCGGCTCTGGCAGGGCCGGGCCGGGCTGGGAGCAGGAAGGGCGTGGGCAGAGGGCAGAGCTGCAGCCTGGCATCCTTGTAGCCAGGCAGGCAGGCTCCTGTGGGGGCCATTTGCCAAGGTGCTTAGGATCTGTTGGCCGCTATTTAGGGTGCTGTAATATTCATGAAGGAAAGATTAGATATTTAAATTTATTCAGTAATAAATGCATCTCAGTGGGGGAGCATTCCTCATGCTAAACAAACAAGCAAGCAGGGGCTAATTAATTATTTACAGGAACCCGAGGAGGCCTTGGCCTGGGGGAGACGGGCAGCTGTGCCCCACCAGAGGTCAGGAGACCCTGACCGGCCCTGGGCCTGCCCCTCCATCCCTTCCCCTCCCCCAGTCACCCTCCACTGTCTGGTGGGTCTGGCCACTGCACATCCATTCTGGGGTTTCTCTTCCCAGAAATCCTGTCCACAAGCTTGCTGGTGGCTTTGGGCAAGTCACTTAACCTCTCTGAGCCTCAGAACTGGCCGCAGAGAGTTGTGGGAGGACTGAGAGACGCTGAGTGGTGGCCTGGGGGTGAGGGACTGAAGGCCAGAGTCCTTTAGCAACTTGTCCAAGGTCTCCCGTCAGAGGCCAGCTGCTCAGAGTGCGAAGCCCGAAGCCCGTCTGGCAGGAGCAGGGACCGAAGCTCCTGGAGGCAGAGCCACGCTCTCCGCCATGGCCACGTGGGGTGTGGCCTTGCCTGCGCAGCCCTCAGCCCGCCCTGCTCTGCCCCGGCTCCTGTCAGCCCAGGGCAGGAAGGGAGAGGCCGGGCCTGGGGGGCACCTATGGGGGGGATGTCTCAGAGTCTCTGAACTGAGCTGGGGCTGTGAGGGCAGGGCTGACCCAGCCCAGTGAGACCCAAGTCCCTCCCCCAGCTCCTCCACCCTCGCTGCATCACTTCATCTCCGTGCCTCAGTTTCCTCATCTGCGCAAGGTCAGTGACAGCACCTCTCTCCAGGGTTGGCCTGAGTGTTCAGTGAGAGAGTGCACCAAAGTGCCCTGCACTTTATCACACTGTCATCCCATTTTACAGATGGGGACACTGAGGCCCAGTCACAGACTCTGTAAACAGGAGACTACTGTGCCGTTCACGCTCTGAGGCCTCCTTCACCGGAGGACTGGATGAGTGGCTGGGGCTTGGATTTCCCTGAGAAAGCCCTGGAGTGAGCTTGAGGCCTGAGGGGCTGGGGGTAGGCTGTGCCTCAAGAGCCCAGGCGGGCACCTGGGTCTGAGCCCTAGAGACCACTCCCCACCCAGGCATAGGGGTGCCCAGGCTAAGGCGAGCCCACTCCAGCCACCTTGGTGCTGGCCAGGCCCTAGCCACCTACACGAACACCAATGCCAGTGCTGGGCAGATGTGGTCCCTGAGAGGGTACCAGCTGGGTCAAGGGCCAAAGCCTGAGCTGCTGCACCCCCAGGCCCAGCCATAAAGCCTGGATAAACGACCCACCCATGGGCCCTGTGCCCTCTCTCCTGGCCCCACCCTGCACGCTCCATCTCTGTTTCCCTCCCAGCCCTGACTGAGCCTTGGGGGCCACAACCCACGTGATGCCCCAGTGCCAGAACTGATTT